AACCCTTATATATAAGAATCCAGATGAAGCAGGAGAAAGCCACCATCTGGTCAGGCCTGGCTAATGATGAGGACTCGGACTAGAATATTTGACTACTTATTGTAGCAATATGAATCTTTGGCTTAGTTCCGGTTCTCTTCAGCTTTGGAAGGCTTTCTCCAGCACTTCTTGAGGCAAGTATATTCAAGTTCTTATTGATTGCTTATTGATTGAATTGTGTCTTTAAAAGAGCTCACTTGCCAGCTCATTGTGCTGCTCAGAAATCCAGAGTTTTGGCCCTCATGTCACCCAGCTGGCAGCAAAATGACCTTTTTTTCCACCCTGGTTCATCTAGTTCCACAGAACTGCCATTAGAATCTGGAAATCAAAGGTCTTATTAGGAATTTGAGAATAGAAAACTGAGCACAAATCATAGACTTTTAATGAGATGAAAATGATTACTGCAGTATGGTTGTAGGAACTGCTTACTCTCTATAAAAATGATAGCAATTCTGATTATTCTTTCAAAGTGAAGTTGAAGACCGTCCAAGTGCCCCAAATAGTGGTTAGGATTTTCCTGGGGGTGGAGAAACAGACTCAATTTCCCATGACATCTTTTGAAAACAAATGACATTTCACAACATGGTATAGCCATTGACATGTACTAATACATTGTTGCCTATAAAAGAAAATTTCTCTAGGACCTAGAGTGGTGGGCATGGGAAATCATTTCCATAGAGATCTCTTATGGCCATTATACATTTTCACTGATTTAACACATATTTTAAAAATATGTATAACAGTATAATTGAAATGTAATTCCTACCTCATGAAATTGACCCATTTAGAGTGTACAATTCACTGGGGCTTAGTGTATTCTGAGTTGTACAACTTTACTGTAATCAAACTGAAACATTTTCATCACCCCAGAAAGAAACCCCACAGCCATTAGCATTCATTCTCTCTTTCCTCAACTTGCCATGTCAGCTAACCTACTTTCTGTCTCTATAGATTTGCCAGTTTTGAACATTTCATATAAATGCATTCATACAAAGGTAGTCCTTTATGTATATTTATTTAGCATAATTTTTCAAGAAAAACTTTCTATGATTGAATGATAACCCATTATATGGATATACTACACTTTGATGATCCATTAGTTGATGAGACACTAGGGCTGGTTTCTTTTGTTGTTTATTAGAAGTTGTGGCTGTAAACATTTGTATACAACTTTTTATATAGACTTGTTTTTATTTCTCCCAGGTATATACCTAGTGGTAGAATTGCTGGGTCATACTGTAACTATGTTTAACAAGTTAAGAATTCCAGAGTATTTCCAAAAACCTGGATCATTATACATTCCTATCAGTGGTGTTTAAAGATAGTGAATGCTTGACTTTACTTTCTAATGGGATGTTTCATGCACCTCTAATCCTCCCCATGTCTGGCAACCACTCATCTGTTCTTTGTGTCTGACGGTTTGTTTTTCTATTGTTGTTTTAGATTCCACATGTAAGTAAGATCATATGGTATTTCTTTCTCCATAAGCTTTAATTCACTTACTATAATGCCCACAAGGTCTATCCTTGTTGACACAAATGGCAAGATTTCATTTTGAATGTTAAATAATATTCCACTGTGTATATATATAGACCCCATTTTCTTTTTCCATTTATCAATTGACACTTAGAGGTTCCTCAAAAAATTAAAAATAGAAATTCTGTTTTCCAGAGTGGCTGCACCAGTTCACACCAATGGTGCATAAGCATTCTCTTTTCTGGACTTATTTACCAGAACTTCTTTTTAAGATTATCACTTCTCACCTTTCAAAATGACTATCTTACTGTTGCTTTGTTTTGCATTTTTCTAATGACTAATAAGGCCCAACACGTGTTCCCTTTTCATTTACCTGTTTGCCATCTATAGGTCTTCTTTAGAAACAGGTCTATTATGATCCTCTTGCCCACTTTTTAATCAGATTTTTTTTTTTTTTTTTTTTTTTTTTTTTTTGGCTACTCAGTTGTAGGAGTTGTTTAAATATTTTAGATAATCCTTAGATAATCCTTTGTCACATTTATGATTCGCACATATTTTATTAATTGTGTTGATGGTTTCCTTCACTATGCAGAAGCTTTTTAGTTTAAAAATCTGACTTCAGGGGCACCTGGGTGGCTCAGTCAGTTAGGTGTCTGACTTCGGCTCATGTCATGATCTCGCGGTTCATGAATTCGAGCCCCATGTTGGGCTCTGTGTTGACGGCTTGGAGCCTGCTTCAGATTCTGTGTCTCTCTCTCAAAAATAAATAAGGATTAAAAAAGAATTTAAAAATCTGACTTCAAAAGCAAACTAGTGGGACTATTTCAATTAATTGGCCATAGATGCCTGGATTTGTTTCTGAGCCGTCTATCCTGTTATACCTACCTATGTTATGTTTTCATGCCTACTTACACAACATCAAAGAATCAATGCTACTGTCAAGCTTTCTATATTATAAGGTTATACCTTCCATAGATAGTGATTCCCCTTACAGATCTGGGCATGGAAAATGACAACATTGAGAGAATGGATTCTAATTTTGAAGTAAGTTCTCTGCATAAAATGTTATCCAACAGCAATGCACTGCTGTTGGTGAAAGCAAGACTCCATCTTTGCTGCAAACTTCATTGTTGTCTTGCCAGCCACCCACACCATCAGCATCCATCAACCTCGAAGAAAGACCCTCCACCAGCACAAAGATTAATATTCACTGAAAGCTCAGATGGTTAGAAATTTTAAAGTATTTTTGAATTATGTACATTTTTGACACATAAACTCATATACACTGGGAAACCAAAAACTTCATCTGGCTTGCTCTATTGCAATGTTCACTTTAGCGAGGTGGTCTGGAATTGAACCGACAAGATCTCTGAGGTATGCCTCAGATTATGTCTGATGGCCACCTCCATCGGTCTTATGTAGCACAATGTATCAGAGTACCAATCATTATGATAGTTGTTTCACAGTCTACACTATAAGCTTTCACTATTGAAAAAATTAGAAAATTAACTAGATTTAGAGTATGGTTATTGATTAGCAGAGAATTCCCAATTCAGCTGAAACCAAATAGTTGCAAGAGAGTGTCCAGGTTAGTAGTTCAAAGCCAGTTTTACCATTATAAACTGGGCAAATAAATGTTTCGGCAAAGAACTAGATAATTTTGTGCCTGTTTCCTTACCAGGAAATTATTTCAATACTAGCACCTACTTCACGGACGAAAGGAGGTACAATATATCAAGTTCTTTGAATAGGACCGGTTATATGATAACCATTCAAATATTTAATTAATACTATTATCATAGCAGGGTTGGGTTCACTTGGCACTTTATATTTTCTCCTTTGAGCCTTGTGACTCTGAGCCTTTGAGCTCTGTAACTAAGAAAGGCAAATGTCAAAAGTAACCTGACAAAAACATGACTTGATGGTGAGGCTAGATTTCCCATCTTCTGACTGATAATGCATCTACCACTCACCATACCCTGGCACCCTCTTCTATAGAAGACTGTTGTAATATGGTGTTATTTTCCTGGTCAAGCCCCTGAGAGAATTCTGGCTCTTGGGATTTAGGTTCATTTTACTAACCTCAAGTTGTAAACCAGCATCAGGGTGTGTCTCAAAGCCCAGATTAAAGGAATCACATGTGACAAAAGCTTACACAGATTACTGTTTTATGAGACTTTCAAGTCCAGTGCATTCCCAAATGCCACTATTTAAGAATACTTAATGAGTGAAATTCAAGCTCAAAAATAGTCATTTAACTCCATAGTATCATAACTAAATTATAAGTTTTTCCAGAGAATTGCTTTTTATCTTTCAATATTACTTTTAAAAAGTATTCTGGGTTATTAAAGTGTTTAGACATGGATGTAAAATATTAGTCTATTTTTTTCCTCCTTTGGTCTCAGGAGCTGAGATGAAATCAAATGATTTAATCATTCTGAATCCATGTGGCTCCTTTGAGATAGGGCCAGATGTAAGCAGAAGGATTTATAGGGCGTAAAATTCAGAATGGATTAGAAAAGCATTTTTGTGTCCAGCCCAATACATCCTAAATCAAAGTCCCCTGAATGGACTGGGGAGGTTGTCATGGCAACTAACAGGCAAGCTGAGCCCCTGGAATGTGAAGGCAAACAATAGGTGTTAAGATTGTGTACAGAACAGCCAACTATGGCTGCTTCTGCCCAGGTACAGTGACACATCGGTAGAAGTGTCCAACTGCCACCACCTTTTTTTGTACCTCCTGGCTATTGTGGCATCTCTTTGGGAATGTATCAGGTCCTTTCCCAGAGGTCAGTAAAAACACTGCTGCTGATAGATGACAGAAGCCCTAGGAAAATCAGCACCAACAGATAGATGCAATGGTATACAAAGCAGTGAAGGGCTAAGAGGACACAAAAATTTCTGAAAGGAGGTTGAAGCAATTTAAGGTAAATCCAGTGACTCCTTAGTGCCACCTTGTGTCCAGTTAGATGCTGAAAATTTACGCAAAGCCCACCCTCCCTCCTTTCCTGGGGCCCCAGCAGGGCGGACACAGAAAGAGTCAGACCAGACCCTGGTGATGTTTGGTAGCCCCTATTGCAGGTTAAGGAAAACATGTAGGTTAAAAGCTTTGATAGAATCTGAAATGGGACAAGAAAGATATGCCAAATAACATCCATCTTAGAGAAGTTTTCAAGAAGCTACCTGGTGCCCAGGAGTTGGAAGGACATGTGGCAGATCCTCGACGTTGCGCTAACTTCTGCAAAGAGATTTGTTGGTGTTCATTCAGCCGTGCTGGTAGCAAAAAAAAATAGGGAAAAATAAAATGGGAACACAGCCATGAACAAAAGAATTTGATAGCAAGATGATAACATTTGTTCAAATTGCATCTTGGGCCCACCTCTTCTCTCTCACACAATCAACCAGCGAAAACCATCATCAAGTCCCATTTAGTTTTCAACAGAAGTGTAAAATGACCAAGCTGTGTTTCTCTTTGTTTCCTCCAGGGTTTGAATTTTTTGAAACAAGTGCCAAGGATAACATTAATGTCAAGCAGACATTTGAGCGTCTTGTGGATATCATCTGTGACAAAATGTCAGAGAGTTTGGAGACGGATCCGGCCATCACTGCCGCAAAGCAGAACACAAGACTCAAGGAAACCCCTCCTCCACCACAGCCCAACTGTGGTTGTTAATGTCCCCACAAAGGCAGTTCTGCGGGGCGGGGGGCACATCACCAACCAACAGCATTTATAAATGGTTGATTAACCTTCATTTATACTGCCTAATAATTATTTGAGGGAAATCTTTGATGTCAGTGGCTCATACATGCATTCAATTCGTGGGAGATTTCCTGTGTTAATATGTGGCAAATATGTGATCTCAAATTTGTAAGGACTATCCATCTATAAACATCTGGTATTTGCATGTAATTTGTTACTTGTCTTTGTAGGCTCTTTTTGTTTCAGATTTCTTCTCAAGATTAAGCTACTGATGGGACCTCAGACTGTAATTTCACTACAACTGACTTTTGTGCCACGGGTTCAAATTTGCAATTCACTTGTATGGATGATAAACAAGGAATTGTTTGTGTGTGTGGACAAGAGGAGATCTCAGGAGACCGTCATGGGTCTGGTTAGTTTACCGTTCAGGAAATGTGTCTGTTTTTCAGTGTTATTAATAACTGAGGAGACCATTGACTATAAAGAACTTAAAGTACTGTGTTTGAAACTCTTGCCAATTTTCTAAGACATTAAATCTAGTTCCAGTGTGAGAAGTAGAATTATTTAATAGGAACTAGATTTAAACAATCCTCTTAATTTAGTTGTTTAAATAATCAATGTCTCTAACCCAGGGTTACTGTTGCCACTGTATGTGCCCAACATTCTGAATAGTTGAGGGCACCAACAGCCTGAGAGGCATCTGGTTAAGGCATGATATGACAGTTGTTCTAACCAAGACAGGTAGGAATACCTGTAGCACTCAAAGGACTGAGTTCACCCCTATTTCCCTAATAACTGCTCCCCATTACACACAAATCACCACCACTTTCTGAAACCATCACCAATGCTCAGAATCAAGCTCAAGTTGAAGCTTGTTAGAGCCCCTCTTCTCACAGGATAGAGGCTTGCTTCCCAAACCAGTGCCTTCTGTTCACACCTCAGCTACATTCTTGTACCTAATACAAGTAATTTAAACAATATCCCAATGGTTCAAAGATTGAGGAAAAGACCATGTTTATCTCTAGTCTTTTTCAATCCAGTTCTTCCTAATTCTAATGCATATCCCCATTCCCTATAGGAATAACAAGCATACAAATCTCACCAGCTCTTTTCATTGGGCACCAGAAAGAAATTGGCATCCTCAGCACATCCAATATTATTTGCAGTTTAGATGTTAGGAAGGCACAGATTGGCAGATGTAGAAGGACAGTTTCATTAGGTAGAGTCACTTTCCCCGTCTTTTGGTCGCTATGTTCAAGTTTTTTTTTTTCCCTCTCTTCATGCACAGTTCCTGTAAAAGTATTGGGTGCAAGTCTTTTTAGCAAGGATACTGATAGGTAAATTTGCCATTGGATAATAAATGTCTACAAGCTAAAGAACTAGGTCATATACATTATTAGTAAGAAAGTGAAAATTACAGATTACCTGTGGGATGTGTTAAGCCTATCAGTGTCATTTCTCACCTTGAGCTTCAGATCCACTAATTGATAATAAATTTCCACCTTGGCACCCTAGATGGCAGGCCACAGCTTAGTAAAGACAAGAATGTCTTATTGGATTTTAATGGGCCAACAAGCTTCAAGAATTCCAGAAATGACAGTGAAGGGAAAGAGAAGGGGAGTAGCAATCAAAACATATTTGTTTGCTACAGAAGCCTATTTGCATGATAGTGCACTATTTCTATTACCTGGACTAGAACATGGCCATGTTCAATGATAGAGCTGTTAGGTTCAGTTGTATAATCTAATACCAAGCAAGAAGGCAAGGAAAACTTGCCTCTCTCACAGCCCCATCCCATATACATATACAGATGTCCGGGACCTAAGTATGAAGTCCACATGGCTTTTACAAGGACCTGGCTATATGTATTATTTTAAAGGGGAGAGCAGAATCAGGGTCAGAAACGTAGAAGGTAAAGAGCTGAGTTTTACTTTTGTGTAAACCCCTTCTCTGAGAAACTGACTGAAATTGGCCCTAAGACCAAAAGACCAAGTCAGGAGCCTACTTCACAATGCCAGACATGACTAATTAGAACTAATTAGTTCAAAATTTGACTAATTTATGGCAGTCAGGGAAGCGGGATGCCCAAGTGTCATTGCCAAGGAATTGTGGATACTTTGTTTTCCAAAACTCATTTGAGGTGGGGCTTTCCTAATTCATTCTCTGTCCTGAAGCTCCCACCCAGGTGTGAGTTTCAATGAGAAGTTTCCAGGGGGAATTGTAACAGAGCTCAATGCTATGAAGCATTAGGAAGAGAGACTATTCTCTATTCCTAATTTTACTAACAGATTTTGGTTTTAAAATTAAATATTTTTTGTCATAAGAGGTAATGCTGGAGGATTCAACTATATTACTTAAAATTTTTAACACTCATTGCAATGTTTAACCTTTTTGCTGACAATACACACACACTCAGCCTCTTACATTCTCTCCATCCCTCACAAAAGCTTAATAGCCACAAATTGTTTTTAACGATGGCGTAAATTTGTATTTACAAGATCAAGATACCTTAAAAAGTACATAGTGTGTTCATTTAAAACATCCATCTTGTTGTATTTGATACAATTCAATTAGTGTTTCAAGTATGAATCTGTCTCTCTGATGCCCATCTTCTCACCCTCACCCCTGCCATTGCTTTGAGAAACAAACCTTGATTGTTGAGCAAATTCTTAGTTCAAGTGCAAACCTGGACTGGAAAATTTTTCATCCAAATAGGTGTCCTCCAAGTGGATGGGCATTTACATTTCAGAGGACATGAATGGATGAAGAAGGTGCATGATATTTCTCAAGTCCTAAGATGGCAGTTTAAATGTGGCATCCCATGTTTGGGGACCTAAGAACAATTGAGTTAGGACAGTCCATCCCTTCTTTGCTGCTGCACCCCTCTCCAGCACAGCTTCTACTGCCTTGGTGAACTTTGCTGTAGGTTCTTCTAATTCCTGCTGAGGTTTACCTCAAGTCAGTATCCCTTTGCTGCCTGGTAAATAAGTGCTAAGATTATTATTTCTCAAGGGAACTAGGATGCCTTCAGTTGTAGCAGAAAACTGTAGCATCATTATGATAAATGTGAAGGATAAATTCTACAAAACTAAAACCTAACTTCAACAAGACACTCAAACACATGGTGAGCATGTATCTTTCACCTACTTAACTCTGATCCAGATTCATTATAGTCCTTTTGTTGATCACACCAGTCATTTTTCAGGGACCAATTTAAACCTCCAATTTTGACCAAGTCTATGCTGAAAATAGACTTTCACATATTAAATATTTTTTAAAGTAAAAATACTCCACTATTAAATGAACTTCCATAAAGCAACAGTAGTTTTGGAATGTGGTAGTCTGTTATCAGACGTTCATCCTGATGGGCTTGGTCCACTGTGTGTCTTATTGCACAATGAGTATGTCTTATGCCATCCTCGGTTGACCATGTGGCACTTGTCAGACTATGTTTAAAATGGATCCAGACTCTACCAAGCCATCTTAAGGCTGAGGTAGTAGCTGCATGTGAAAAACTGTGACCTAAATCTTATCTTCAAGTCATGACTAAAACCCTTTGAGACCAAAAAGTGTTTGTGAATAGTTTTCATATACTATTAGAATTCTCAATCAGGTATTTCTGGTGTGGTATATTTAGGAAGTGGTCTTTCTGTCTGAAGAAACTTTAAGTTAGAGAGTTTGCATGACTGGTAACTCAAACTCTTTGTTCATTTGTGTGTATACTCAGAGTGCTATGTCAGGGTAGCATGTGAGCAACTTGACCCATGTGGCCTTTGTATTCACCCCCCTGGAAGATATAACCTCTGCAGCACTGCTTTGCTTTGCCTGTTTGTGTATACTACTTGTGCTTGAGTAGTGCACCAGTAAAATGAAGAAGCCTTTCCAACAAGCTGAACTGGTAGGGTCAGTTTTCTGGATTGCTTTGTATTTTAAGTGATTTTTGACCAAAGCAACATAAACCTGTTTTCTATTCTGGAATGAATTAAGACAAATTGGGTCAAAGATGAAATTTATGACCAGGAAAAAAAAAAACAAAAAAAAAAAACCTCTTTCTCCCTATGATGCACTTAAAGGGCTCTAGATTCTAGAAATACAGTATCCCCTAAGGGTGCAAAAACAGGTCTGGGATATTTATTTAAAATAATATGTATGTATTATTAGCATTTCATAAGTAAATGTTTTTTTTTTTCTTAAAAACCTTTACAGAAATGTTGGACACTCCAATCAACTAATTCCCTTTGGTAGATTAAAATATTTACACTTAGGCCCCTTCCAACACACACACGCACACACACACTCACACGCACACATACAGATACCTTTTATATGAAGGGAGATTTTCATATATGGTGCTTTCTCAGTGCTGGGGAAAAGGGAGCTTCTGCTGTTTTCCAACTGTAACTCACATGTTGTTTAAAAAGGTCTACACAATAGATTCTTTGCGCTGATTTGTGTGTTTGTGCACATAATTTCCAGTAAGAATAGAGAAAAATACGTTTTGCCAACATCCTAGAGAAAAATAATTTCCAAACCTCTGTCAGAGCATGTAGCTGGTAAGGAACTGAACTTTCCAGTTGTGGTTCTCTTTTCCACTTCCTGGTGGGTTTTTTTTTCATTTTTTAAAGCACTATCCTCTCACTGACTGACAGGACTGAGAATAGGATGTGAGAATCAAATTCCACCACTTCCCTCCCATCAGCACTACTGTTGGTGGAGTTTCAATCAATAAGTATTTGCTGAAATGAAGTTGGGGGTTTACCTGTGTATTTCCTTCACCTGTATTCATACTTTCCTTCCTAGTGGACAACTGAGAGTTGGCTGTGGCTTTTTTTTTTTAATGGCCATATTTCCATATTCATGTTTGTGGCTAGGGATTGCTTAAGTTCATGAATGCTGTTCTTAAAGACACAGATGGTACGTGACCCATACAGGCCCCTGGCCTTTCAGGGACGTGAGCATGACTTGCATCTGTC